CCAAAGGAGCACTCCATTCCCACAGCCAAGCCTCCCACCCCCTTCCCCCTCCACTCGCAGTCCCTCCTGTGCTCCTGCACCTTCTCTCCCACCAACCGCTGTGGCGCTCTCCCCTCCACAACCACACACCCACAAGTGTCCACTCTCCTGGCTTCCAGGCATGGCAGTCTTCTAGAAGTGCACCCACTGAGGTTTGGTGCCACCAGAAAATGGGTGGTGATGGATGGCCTTCCAAGCCCCCTCAAGAGACAAAAATCAGGTCACAGGCATTGCAATTCTCAAAGATCCGGTATGTTTTCACGTGTAGGGGAAAAAACCAGCCGCTGGTAAGGAAGCAAACTGCTTTGTACATAAGGGTGTGGAGTTGTAGAAGAGGTATCTGTGGTCGTCTGTACAAGCATTATAGGTGATTATGTTTTTGAATGTGAGCTTCCGTGGACAAGTCCACTTCATCAGACATAAGGAGATACAACATGGCAAATATTTATAGGCGGCATCAAGGTATAGAGGTCAAAATACAGAGATTGTGGTTGGTTGGTAAGAAACTCAGTTGGGTGTTAAAACATTGTGAGGATAGTCTTTGATATGCCGGTCTTTAGAACAAGCCTGTGCTGTCAAGAATGTGAGAGCCATTGCCATAAATTAACAATGGTAAAAGGCCAATGGTAGAGTAACATGGATGTTAATTAGATGGGCTATTTACAGTTGCTGATGAACTTTTCCCTCCTACAAGTTTTTGTTTGTAATCAGTTTCAAGAGTGTGTGAATTACCCCAGACAACAGGAGCAGAGCAGAATTAGTTTTGCCATAGACAATTCCAAGGTGGACCTCTTAAGGGCAGAAAAATTTCTGGGAGATGCAGTACAGTACAATATTTATAGTGTTCATGTCTGGTAGTGCCCCCAAAAGCCTTGGCTTATATTAAGTCCTTTGACATGCGTGTCTAGCATGCGTATATATTTTCTCTCAGAGCTGTTTCTCTCCAGATTCTTGTCCTGTTTTTTTTTTTTAAGGATGGTCCCTTTCAAATCATCTGTGGAATGTCCTGGTAAATTAAGATGATGTGAGATAGGTTTCTGTGTGTTGCCATACTTGATGTTTGATTTACTCCCATTGATTCATCTGTGTAGAGACTGTCCCCTTTCTCCTATGTAGAATGCAGATGGGCGTTGATGGCAAGAAAAGAGAGGCATAAATCGCATTGGTAGAGGAACACATAAAAATGCCTTTGAAGGCTATGTAATCTACTGACAAAGAGGAAAACAGTTCCAGGTAAATTTGACTGGGAGGTTAGCTCAGTGAGTTGCCCACCTGGCTGCAGAGCCAGGGGCCAGGAGTTTGATTCCCCACCATGTGTATCCCAAGAGAAAGGCCAGACTCTGGAGCCTTGGGTAAGCTTCAAGGGGTTGCCAGTTGTCATCAAAGAATACCAGAGCCACGTGGGGTTCACACGAAGAAAGGAGAGTCTGGATCCGTGGGGAGGGTCACTACATTTGTCCCATGTTTTTCTCAGTTCCTCCTTCAGCAATTGTGTACCCTGAAGATCCCATTGAACTGGGGGACCCCAACGTGCTCATCTGCTTCGTGGACAAGTTCTTCCCCCCAGTCCTGAACATCACCTGGCTGAAGAACGGGCAGGTGGTCCCCAGGGGCGTGGCAGAGACCACCTTCTACCCCAACGTGGACAACACTTTCCGCAAGTTCTCCTACCTGAGCTTCATCCCACAAGAGGGGGACGTCTACGCCTGCCAGGTGGACCACTGGGCCCTCCAGGGGAGCCTGACCCGCCTCTGGTGTAAGCAGGATTGGGGCCTCCTCTGGGCCTCGGAAATGAGAAAACCAGAGCTAAGAAGGAGACAGTTCCTAAAGCCTGAACCATTAATTGGAAACGAAGGGCATCCTTTTTTGTTGGTTGGTTAATTCCACTTAGGGAGTTTATTTTGCAAATTACCATCTGGTGATTCCCTAGTCAGCACGTTGGGTATCTAAGGAAATCATTGCTTCTTTTTAAAGCCTATAGAACTGTGGACCTTATTTTGATTTCTGAAATTCTGACAGATGCTTTTAAAGCTATTTCAATGGTTGCTCCATGGCCTGTGAGCTTCAGGCTTAATTCAGACTTTAAAAGATAGAACAATAAATATGTATCCGATCTTTCTTCCCTTGATATCAAATTGGCACCATCAGTAGCAAGGGGATGTTAAGAGGTCGCCTCTAGTCTCCTGATCAGTCTGAGGAATCATTATCTTAGTGGACCTCCTCTTGAGCTTTAATAAGTTACTTTTGCTATTTATGGTGGGAGGTTTAAGGGAAGGATGGAGTTGCCAAAATGTGTTGAATTCTTTCTGTGGTGCGATCACACAGTCCCATCCTGGAACTAACCCTCATGACAGAAGGTCTTTATTGAGTCAGAGGAAGAGAGTTCAGGTCCATGGACCAATATAAGATTCTGGGGAGAAAGGAGCAGGATTCCTGGGTTCCTTCCTCATGGAGGTAGGCACACAGACACATAAATACATGTCTTGCCTTCCCCTTTCCCAGACCCCAAGGTGCCCCCTCCCGCCTCTGAGATGCCCGAGAACCTGCTCTGTGGCCTGGGCTTGACCCTCGGCATCCTGGGCGTCATCGTGGGCCCCGTCCTCTTCTTCAAGGCCCGGAAGATGAATCAGGACCAGGGCGGCATGTGAGTCAACCCTCCTTCAATCCAGCAGCTGTTCCAGGAATGGGAATCCCAAAAACCAGAGTCAATGGAACTCTACTGCTCAAAGCCTGTTTCTGCTCTGGGGAGGGACAGAGATGGGCATCATCCTCCCTGAGAGAGTTCCCAATTCTCAGCCTTACGCTCACAACCAGGAGAAGGAAAGGTTTACTCAAAGCCCTTTTGGGTTCTCCTTATGCCAGGAAGAGAGGCCCTTGTGGTGGGTTCTTCCGACGGGAAGGAAGGCCCTCCAGGCTCCCTCCATGTGGACTAGAAAACGGCCTTGTGCATTTTGTTGAACGTAAAGGTGTGAATGTTGGGGTTGTGTGTGTTTGGAGTGAAATCCCAACTCCTATAAAGGCCTCTGAGGCCCACAATCAAGCAGGGGGAGCTGAGCAAAGGGCAGCTGTGGGGCCAGTGCAAAGAGAGAGTGGGGCAGACCTCATGCTCTCCAAAGGGTGCGTGTGTGTTTTTTCCACCAAGCGTGCAAAAGGCCTGCCTCTTCTTCCTACTTGAGCCCCAGGGCCACAGCTGTCAGGGGGGGTGCCTCCACCTGCCGCTCCCTTATGGGGAGGCCCTTCTAACCCTTTCCTCTCTTTTTCTTTTCCAGATAAGGAAAGCCTGAAGGGCCGCCTCCTCTCCCTGCAGGTCCCTTTCCTGCCAGGCCCCCGAAACAGCCTCTTCTTTCTGCTTACTGCCCCTCATAAAGATTCCAATCTGCTGGAAGAACCCACTTTCTTCACCCCTGGGGTGCCCTGGACTCCTCCCCCCATTTGCCAGCTTGATCCTCCACACCCAGGACTCTGTTTTCCCTGTGTGAGGTTCCCAACTTCAGCCTATTTGCAGTGACTCCTCTCTTCCAATGAGGGCAGAGACCGTCACCTGAATCTTGGCGATTTTGTCCGCTGGCTTTTTCATAATAACCTCATAAACTGGGTTTTAGGTCTGTCGTTTGGCCGTTTTCTTCCACCATTCCTTCATTTCTTTCATCAGTTTTTGGACATTGCCCAGTTTTCAATAGTATGATAAATATCCCCGAAGGATTTGATGAGTTTCAATTTTAATTAAAACTTCTCTGCTTTTTAATCTGTCAACCTGCATGGAACACATTCCAGATTATATTGATCCATCCACATGATAGGGGGAAAGGGGAAAAGATCTTTCTTCTACATTAAAATTTCACATGAAATCCTTATAATCCTAATCCTCCCATTTTATGCATTATTCCATGAGCTAAATAAAAATTTACATTTTGCGAACGTGAGCTTGGCCCTTCACTTCACTCGTGGACGTGCTTTGTTTCTGCATAAAAGCAAACCACACCATCTGATTTGGAGTAATTGAATATTCCCTTTATTAGGATATTTGATAAAGGAGCAAACAGCATACATTGGGGTCAGATCATTCAGAGGACTTTGCTGGTGGGAAAGGAAAGGGTGTAGGGACTATAAATCCCTGCCTCAAGTGATAAGTGTAGCTTCATGAGCTTCTCTCTTTTTGAATCTGGTTCTAATCCAGATTTTCTTTACCTTAAACAGAAAAAAACGGTCTTTGACTGACAGCCGAAGGGCAAGGGGGTGGGGGGATGGGAGAGAGGTCTCCCCCTCCTTCCATTTATGGTTTGCACTTTAGGGTTTCTGTTTTTGCTTTAGGGTATTGAGTTTCCCTGCATTCCTTCCTCCCCCCACCCAGCACATCAAATGGCCTGTCATTGAATTAGTTGATCAATCAACTAAATTGCTCCTTGTAAATGCCTGAGACCGGAAGGTCCAGCAATGTGAGACAGAAAAGGGTGAGGGGAGGTTCAAGCTTTCCCCTGTCCCACAAATCTCCTCTCCACATCCTCCTCCTCCTCCTCTGGAGGAAGACCCCCACCTGAGTCAGGAGGACCCTTTCTGAGTTAAGGATGTTCAAGGATGAGCAGACCAAGCAGCCCTCCACCTCCACCTCCTCCTCTGGATGAAGACCCCACGCCTGAATCAGGATGTTCAAGGATGAGCAGACCAAGCAGGATGGTTGCAAAGGGATGCCCACCCCCGCCTGGCAACTGATGACAAGAACAATGTCAGAGGCTCTGAATGGCTCAGCTCAAATTTCTAGGCCAGGAGAGTCCACAGCCAGAGGCCACACCTCCTGCATCCTTCTGATTCGGCCTTCAAAGGGACAAGACCTGGAAGAAGGCCAGGCAAAGACCTCCGCAGCGCCTGAGACTCGACTGACCTGCTAGATTTCTGCCGGGAAGGAGTTCCTGTCCAATCCTCTTAAGAGAAGCATCCCAGGAAAGGGTGGCCTCGTGATGAGTTAGGGCTTTGCCATATAAGGATCGGAACCAGAAACCTACCTGTGCGCTCTCTCACAGGAGAGCAACACCAGCCATTGGCCCTGGCGGCGAAGGGAAGGCAGCTTGCCGGAGGGGCCCCTTGCTCTGAAGTGTAAAGCCTGCAGAGCAGGCAAAGGCCCTCTTTGGAGTTGCGTGTTGCCAGGTTCTCACCTAACACGCAAAGCAGCCGAAGGGGGAGGGAGTAAGCCCCCCAAAACAGAGATGCCTTAAATATGCAGGGAGAGGGTTGAGACTCCGGGAGAGGTCGGGGCGATGGGAGGAGTGGCGGGAATCAGAGGCGCTCCTCTCGAAGACAGAGGGAGGGGAGAGGGGGGCTCCGGGAAGGGAAGGAGACCCGGTTTTGACTCTGACGTGTAAGCGCAGAGCTTGACCCGAATGGATTCATGCGTGTTGAAGCCCTCGATCCGAAGGAGCAGCGTGTCCTCTCTTCTAGCTCCTTTGTAGCCGGATTTAGGCTTTTTGCCTTGAACTTTGAAACCTTTGAAGCTTCGCAGTTTTGTATCTCTCTACCCTTCGCGCTTACTTTTAATGAAGTCTCTCTTCCAGAATAGACGCCTCTCGGTCTGGAGACCCTGCGCTGGCAGGGCTGCTTGGATTAACTCTAGCTCCGGAAACCCAGCCC